AAGAAACCGGTCGTAGGCTATCGAAGAATTTTCAGCAACCTTATGAGTAGTGCATTACGAATATACCAGCCTCTTTAATGCGTTAAAAAATCAGCATTAATCAAGACTCATCTCATCTCAGCTGAAGGCAACACAGTAGTTTTGTATGCCATGTCAACCAAGTAAAAAGAAGTTCGTCATACTGAATTTTGCTGCACGTGGACCTCTTCTCAATCAATATGCAAACCTAACAGTGTCTTCGTTTTATCTCCAGTGAAATGTTATCTTTGAAGTCTTCATGAAAAATAAGAGGCTCCATGCAGTCGGACGTGTTTGTCTGATGAGGCTGTTCTTCGAACGATCCCCTTACAGGGATGGTGATTCAATTCTACTTTTCCGTGTGTGTGCATCTATTGCATCCTGAACACAAAGACAAGCAAGTTCATCAAACTAAAATGCTCATGTAATGATCCCGGTGTCTAAGACGAGATTTATCGGGTTTGTGTCAAGGGCCTTGTTCAGTTAGTGTGTAGAAGCTTCCCGTTTATACAGAAATCAACCTTCATCAGCATACAAAGGAGAGTCTGAAAGGGATGTCATAATTTAAACTTCAGGCCGGCTATTCTACCAAAACCGCACTTGGAGAGTTTTTTGTAATGCAAAATCCTGCCCAAAAACATGTGCACGTTAATTAATTTCCATCTAATCCCATTGTTTATTGGGATTTAAGTATAATCTTAAGATAAAGCAAAAAAACACGATTCTGGTTAATCCTCCTGCTGACTTGGTCAAGGGAGGGTATCCAGGTTTTGTTGCAGCGGAATACCGGCAATGGTCTGAAGATGATTTTGATGCTGACTTTTTGCACAGGAACTTATACGAGCGTCGGTCAGAAATGCACAATCGTTCACCGGCTCAGTAACTGCTAATCAGCTAGTCCGAGTTTGGCGTTGCGAGATGACTCACATGCGAGATGAGTGAATGTTAAGAGCTCAAATTTCATGACAGGGAAGTCGGTGGTTCGGTCTTGAATCCCACGCCTCGACTTACCGTGTCTAGACTTGGGCAACCTTGCACTATCCCATTCCTCGTGCTTCATTCTGGTGGCACGGAAGTAAGGCACCGATAGGCCTATGATACCTCCACATTTGTAATTACTGGTGAAAAGAAGAATGCCTTCGGTGCGGAGTTATTAATTAGAAAATACCAACTGAACAGTTTCAGACAATTGAACAGGGAAGCGAAATTCTCATATACATCTTGTTTACAAAAACCGAATATCCATTTTCTCCTTGAACGCGTCTCACTGAAATTTCCTGAATATTCATTGACTTATTACAATGGAAGCAAATGCCACAAAGCGACTTCACAAATTCCGTGATAGATATCATTTTTCGAGAGACGCTACGTGGATTTACGAAAAAACACCACTCGCTGCCTCATCAGTAGTATCCACCGTCACACCGGTATGGAGTATTCCCAGTCCTATCAGACACAGTTCCACCCACATTAACCTCCATGTTATATCTGGTTGTGAGTCGAGTGGCAGATCAACATTTCCGAATAAACTTGCAAACGTACCATCGGCCCCCTGAAACGTTCTGTCTACCATACGAACACGTGGGATCGTCGACATTTACCATTCTCTAGTCACATTCCATTAGCTCACGAGCTCAAGCAGGCAAATGCAGTATTACAGGGAACAAGGTGATTATTCGACTTCAGTCAACTCAGGTGACAGGATAAAACATTGGAGAACACAAAATAACGGTTACTAGAGTGCCTCATTGGAATTCCCAGTAGTGCAGGAGCACACACAAACCTTCTTCATTCACCCAACCGAGAGGATAAATAACTGCCCCTTTAGCGAAATACCCCCATTTGCATACTAACTTGGTTCTGACGTAAGACACACCTGAAACTCAGCTGCATCTCTCGTTTATGTCTATTTTAAGCACTTGAACGCGCTGCACCAGGCCGCCTCATGTTTCAGTTGCTACGATATTTGAGATATCGCGATACATGTATAGAGGTAGCACATTACTCATAAGGTTGTTGGAAATCCTTCGGTTTCGCCCTTCTTAAGGCTCATCAGGTAGGCACAGTCCCCAAGTTTTCGTCAACCTTGAGTTCTACCTGAACTCAAATTGCAAGAAATTAGCAAATTATACTCATTTGCTCTCCAAGTTGTTCTTGACGGTAGACTCACCTAGAAGTAATCTGAATCACTCGTTTATGATGTTCCGTTATTCGAACGGCAACCACGTTAACACCGACACGTCTGCTTTAAAACGTGTTCAAATGTGTTTGACCTATCTAAGTACCATACTTACCATCAGATTGTTTGCCTGCTTCAGGGTGCACCTAGTGTGTTTAGCCTATCTGTCTTTCAGGTAGTGTACAGGCTCTTCTGCAGCTGTGGATGTGCTGGCTTCGACAGGGTAGAAGGATTTCTAGCGGAAAGTGTTTCAGAACAAACTCCAAAGTATGTAAGCTATATGTTTTCAGGATGATCGCCAGGTCAGGTTTCAAGCCACAGTAACCAGATGTTTGTTAGATATCGACCATTGGACTGACTCGGTCAGCTCCCCCGGAACTCAGTGCGCAAATCGAACCTCAAGGTTTTAACGATAAGCGAGACCATGTTGATCAAATCAAACTAGCCTACGCTCTGTGCACGGGTACAGTCGAAGCAAGGCAATGGATATCCTAAGTATCACCTCTCAGGGATTCTAATTAAAGTATCACTACTTTCATGTTTTACAGCTGCTAGTAAATGGAGCAAAAATGGCTAACATTTTGTGATATGTTTTTTCTGTTAGCTCTGAATAAAAGATGCAATGTTACAATTTCGTTTGTTTATTCGGTTTCCTCATGGATCTTGATTGACACAGCAACGCAACTTCAAAATGGACAATGGAAAGAAAGCCATCTGTTAGGAAAATGTTCCAGGTTTCATTTGAAACTGCGGGTAGTCCCTATTTCCCACCCTAATTCGTTCCGTGACGCAATCCGCAATCCATTTTTGAGGTTTATTGGTGTTACTTTTAGTCACAGCCTCTGAAAGTCTTTGGTCGAGGGATATTGCGTTCTTTGATAGTATAAGGTTTGAAACTTCGAAGTGAAGTCACTCTATGCCGAAAAGTTGGGAAGCATTATAAAGCTGTTTTACCCTCATTAGGGATCCTGCGTATGCCAAGAATTTCCAGGAGGATTTGAACCAGCAGCCTTAGGGCTCACACTGCTGATGACTTCCAGTATAGATGAAACTATTGTGCAGTGCTTCTCAGCTCTTCAGTGTAGGCTGATTTCACTTTACGGGGAGATTTAGCCATTGAAATACCATCTCTTCGCTGGAGTTATCTGAGAGATCAACCATCGCATCACGATCAACACTAGGTTGCTTTGTTTTGACTAGTTGCAAGTTGCTGGTGCTAGCGCTTAGATCGTTCCGTTCCAGCTCATTTTGAAAAACCAGTTATTCAAGTTTTAATATTGATTTCTTGTCCAGCATTTCATAAACTCAGTTGTAAATGGGTTTTTCATTCCACTGATCTGGCCTGCGGGACGAGTGTGGTAACCCTAACCACCTGAATAAACTGGATTCAGTCTATACACTCATCTGCAAACTAATTTGGTTCTTTCGAGAGACTCACCTTTAGCCCAGCTGAATCTCTCGTTTATGATGTTCTCAGGCAACTGAATGTGCTGAACCAGGGCGCCTCATGTTTCAGTCTCCACGATATTCGAAATATCGCGATACACGTATATTTGTCATGTGCTACTNCAAGAAGGGCGAAACCGGTCGTGGGCTGTCGACGGATTTTCAGCAACTTTATGAGTAGTACATTACAAATATACATGGATTCAGTATACGTTTTATGCTCGAACAAACAAGCGTATGCATGATTTAGCCACGCCCGATTGGTGCTATTGTTATACCAAGAAAAGGAAACATAGCAGGACTTCCCGGACAGGTAACGCCGTACATAGTCGATATCGCCCAAATACGGTCGTTACAGTGATTTCTGCCCAGTAAAATAGAAGTAAGCGAAAAGTTTACGACCGCGCCTGTCAGTGATCCATGCGGCCAGATTTATCGCCCATGAGAAGAGGTCCACATGCAGCAAAATTCAGTATGACGAACTTCTTTTTACTTGGTTGACATGGCATACAAAACTACTGTGTTGCCTTCAGCTGAGATCTTTGGAGTCTTGATTAATGCTGATTTTTTAACGCATTAAAGAGGCTGGTATATTCGTAATGCACTACTCATAAGGTTGCTGAAAATTCTTCGATAGCCTACGACCGGTTTCTTCTTTCTTGGGGCTCATCAGGTAGACGCAGTCTCCGAGTTTCCGTCAACCTTATGTTAGTATATTCCAGATTCATTCGACTTCACACATCCGTTCGGCGCCTACACAGGTTATCTCAAACTACCAATCATCATTAAGATTTAGACCAACAAGTTTGACGGGAAGGCCGTTTGTCTAAGGGCTCCATACAGTGGCACCGAGGGAATTCGCCAGATTCCGGAGATGCATCCTTTGGTTTTTCTGCTTTACGCCACGCTGCATGTGCGTTTTGTTGGAACATTTAGGTATTTTCGAAACGTTTTGACGAAATAAAATATAACTGAAGGTTTTCAGGTGAACGATTTAGAGAAAATGTTACCAGCCATTTTCGGAGGGAAACACATGTGATTCCAATTCTGCTTTCAGGCAGTAAGTTCTTGTGCTTGTCTGTTCCAATTCGTTTAGCCACCATACATGGTGTATTGGCCATCGGATCACCAGAACAAATTTTTAGGGTGCTGCTTCACACAGGGACATCTACCACATGGGTCACGTCAGTGGATTCTGATATTCCATCCCGGAACTATCGTAGTACATTCAATCCAAAAGGATCGCTTACAGGAAGGTCCATAATGTCTTTTTTCGAAGAGGCATATGGCCCATGTAGAATATCTGGGACCATCTATGTGGACAATATGAAGGTGGGTCAAACACATTCACCGCCATTTACAAATAAATAACAGATAGGTAAACTACAACTGAAACAGGTACAGTTCGGTGTGGTTTCCACTGTTATTAATTCTGAAGTCCTTACTCATGCCGTGGACGGCTTCATTGGACTAGGACCCGGAGGTTCCAACTTATACTTCGAGCAGACATTCATGGGCTATATGGCCAAACAGAAAATCATTCAACACCAGAAGTTTGGATTTATATTTGAAAAGTCAGTTGTTTCCTTTTTTGGGGTTTTGCATACGACAATTACCTGCACAAGTACCACAGCAGATGAAGTCCGCATCATGTATGCCCATAGTTAACCAAGCATTATGTATGAAGAATTCGTATTTCCTAGACCTAACACTAACCACAATGTTGCTGAAATTCCTCTTAATTATTCTGGGTTTTCCGCCTCTTTGAATTGGAATTTGGGTCTTTTGATTGTAACGTTTTCTTTCGCTTCTGAATCGCCGTTTGGACAAATCTCTTATCCTTCCCTTTTTTGTGCTCACGTCCCAATCTGCCTAGAGAGTTTGCTCTCCAGTTGCATCTCTGGTTTCTAGTGGTGGATGTATCTGTTCGTTGTATGTTCGTGCTGAGTTGCTTTATGACTTCTGGTCCTAGTGTCCTCCCGCAAGCTGCTCTATGCTCGTTAGCTATTCTCTCGTATTTTTTAATACAGATTTGAGCGTCTGCAATCATGAGTCTAATCATTAGTTGCCTATGATCCTTTATATTACGTTATTCTTCACCATTGGATCTAAATTTCCTTCTGGGTTCGATATTGTCTTTAGCAAATTTTTCGCGGGTTTTTAAGCCACCGTTTTGTTGTGTTGTCGTGACAGCCTTGCGGTCATTTCGGTGGTGTTCCTGACATAAGTGAGTGTGTCTCCTTTGCTTCTATTCTAGTCCACCAGCTGTTTCAATCAGTTCTTTTGGCACAACCATGCAGATGGCAAAAGGAAGCAGGGAAGGTCAAACAAGGCAGCGAATAATGAAAGTAATTACTAACAAATTCATCTGCGCCGGTCATCGCCACTCCCTGAAAAGGGATGTTAAGTTATGATAAATGAATAGTTAGAAACATCGACAAAAAAACACACTGGCACACTCAATCGCGCGCATGCATTTAGGCTGTTGCCGCCCGGTCTCTCCAACAAAAAATCTACTGTCACCCAGGAATTTACATCTCAGTTCTATCTGCTACCTCCTCCATCGCGTAGCTACTACCCCGATTGCATCAGATTATCGACAAACGCAACTGTGGAAGATATGACCACTGCACATGTACGTTGATTTTTAGCTGAAAAAAATGGTGAAGATGAAGAGGTGTTAAAACCAGTCTGTCGATTGTGGAATTTTGACTGGGCGAGCCAATGCTCAGTCCAAAATTTGCCATTTGCAGGATGATATAAGGCGGGTAAACGCCATCATTTTTGCAGGTTTGTATCGACAGCATACAAACACGGGCTAGACAAAGACCAGTCTAACAGGTAAAGACAGGATGAACTAGGAAGGTAAGTTCTTCATGGAGATGCTGGTCGCTGACGGCTACCCTGATCATTTCTTTAACTATGCAGCACTAATTCTCCTCAACAGAATGCTGGAAGAAGAGAAATGGATGTGCAACTACAGTTCCCACAACTCAGACAGAGGAGGTCAGTTCACAAAGAATTGGACGCAAGTTCAGCTCTTTTTTCAAGACCAGTCTTCAGCGCAACACAACTGCGCCCCATTCAGTTGACTCAATGAATAATTTTTCAAAAGTGCGGTCACATTTCTTCAGAGTTCCCCACTTAACGCGTGATTTGCTAGTATTCATGTAGGCGCGGAGACACTGACGCCTCTCAGAAAGCACGGCAGAACACGCCATATTACGTCCTTCCGCCAGGTTCGAAGGTCCCACGGTAACGACACTTCATCTGTTTCCACGTGCTCACTGTAAATCGGTCACCAGATGTATTAACAAGCTGTATTATGAAACTGTAATCCGAGGGTTTTCTCGTCCACCAGTGTCCTATTAATCTAAGTTTACAGACCAGCTTGTGTGAACTAAATTTTAAGCAACTTTGTCTGTGCAATTGTTCTGATCACTAGCATTAACGTCATCGTCTATCCGTTCGGTTTTTTTACCAATGCCGTTTTGTACATTGCCCGCATGTTTTGAATATTTTGAATTTGTTTTAGATAGGTAAATCCGAGGGTTTTCTCGTCCACCAGTGTCCTATTAATCTAAGTTTACAGACCAGCTTGTGTGAACTAAATTTTTAAGCAGACTTTGTCTGCAATTGTTCTGATCACTAGCATTAACGTCATCGTCTATCCGTTCGGTTTTTTTACCAATCCCGTTTTGTACATTGCCCGCATGTTTTGAATATTTTGAATTTGTTTTAGATAGGTAACAAAAGCTCAGTGATAAAAACACTTCGAGAGTGTGGGCATTTTCCGCTCAAAAGGATTAGAGGGCCACCTAATGCCCGTAGGGCTTCGTTGTTAGCTCTGTATTCGATCATCAGCTCAACGGGACTCAACCCGAGTGGTATACATTTGTCCGTCCATAAATTTTACTTCCGCTGTGTCCCAGCACATGCTTACGCTGCATGGCGTTACTGGCATTAAAATCCACTATACGGCTCCATTTGCTGGGTCTTTCTGACATTCTACACCCGAACCAGCCTCAGCTATTATACTCCCACCTCAATTTCAGAAACGAAACCTTAGTTTATTTAGGCAAAAGCAAGCATACTAAGTAACCTGGTGCAGACATGACACCGTCATCAATTCTCTATTCAGCTGTTCTGCGGGGAGGTTAGTTTAATGGTTTTCTTTCAAGCGTCTGGTCAGTTTCCCAACACTCGACCAAGGGAACAGCTGCACAGCTGCACCTCTCACAACTGCCGAGGAATTATGTCTTGCCACAGTAACTACTGCTTCTGTATGAGTCTTCTCCGACAACCAACGCATGAAGTTGATATCAAACAGTTTTACTCGCTTAGGTTTATCCCCATATGAAAGTCCAAGACATCTTAATCAGCAGTGTTGGCATTAGTCGTGTAAATCCATCAGTTATTTCTGTCTATACTGCCCCCAGTGTCGCAAGTACGATTATCAGCGGTTCTTCTGCACTTGTCTCGTGGGTGGAATGATCCTTCTTGCCTGTCCCGTGGAGAATGCTCCTATCAGATCACTGCAATCGATGATCGGTCCAAAATCAGTCTGAACATCCTTGTCCGCCAGTCACACAGGCCATAAATGTTTCAGACAACCGTTCCGTGCAGAAGAAAGTCCGTCAACTCGACGGAAATTTAAGTGCGAAAATTTGGTTGTGATTAACTACGAACCTAGATAACCCTCTCATTGTTGGTATACAATTTGGAGTCATAAGTCCGTCCTTGCACTAAACACCCATCCTCGGTACCCATCAAGATAAAGGTTTTCGATGCCTCCTGCAGAAAGGTGAGGACCATAATATGGATATTATGTAGGTCATTAGGGGCACGCGATAAAGATTGCGGCAATCCTGAGTACTGTTCATACGGCTAAATTTACATGACGTTCCCTCCGACTGGCTGTGGATAATGCTAGATATAACTACCAACCGACTTCTTTAGCGCTTGCAGTCTATTTCCGTCTCCACTTCCTGAGTGGATTCGTGTGGACGCACGTACTTCAGAATGACTATTCCTCAGCTCGCCACGCCCTGCTTGTTAAAGTTGACGACAAGGAAACCTGTTTTCTGAATGAGACGTTACTGTAAGAAGAGGTGGCAATTTCCATATTGTTGATGGTATTATCGGTATATTATAAACTAGTCGGCGTCTGTCGGACCAAATGTGAGTGTGTGCATGTGTGAATGTGTGCATGGCTCAAAGCTCGTCCCGTGTTTTATTTCAACACTGTGGTCATGTACCACGCAACTGGACTTTTTAGTCGATTTATCGTGCAAGCATGCAATGCTTACGTGAGAAGACCACGTCAGTGGTTAGCTATTTATAGTACCTTCAAAGTTACTTCAAATGTTTATTATAGTTATCAGTGAGAAAAAGAGATGAATACTACGGAGAAGTCGGACTTCGTGAGGGGTAAAGATGTGGGATGAGAATAATCTTATGTCTACTTTAGCAATGCATCAAACATGCTTTCTCAGGGTGTGATCTTTTCAGAATGCGTTTCCGGCAGCGCATAAATTAGCCCCCTGAGGCCATTAACTATTTCGTAGGGACTGACTAATTAGCACAACACCAGGCCATTTCAGATAATGTCCAGTCATTCTTTAATCCTGCATCTCAACCAAATTATTGGTTTCATTTTGGTGACGAAAAATATTTTAATGGAATCAAATCCGTTGTCATTGTCTCGGACTGATACAAGAAGTCAAATGTAGTAGTTGACTGTACATATTGTGTCCGGCTCAGCACGGTCGTCAAGTACAGCAGGGTACGAACCTGTTTCCAAAACCTTCACGTAGGATCAGGTTATAAAGACAAAATCAAAAACGTGCAGCACTGAATGCTCTTTCCTGATTTTGAATGCAACTGACTTCAGTCGTCTGCTAAATAATCAAAAGTATGATGATCGAATAATAAGCTTCAACCGAAATAACTCCATTTACTGATTCACTGATTGGTTGATCGATTTCTTGGTTGGTTGTTTGGTTGATTCCATTCCTCGGACCGACGATTTTTGTTTTTTGATCATATACTTTCAGGGTTTTGAGATGGGAATTCGCAAACTTACAAACTGGAAAGTTTTACTGGCTCAATTTCTGCGCCTGCCCATATTTTTCTCGTGACAGTTCTGGATAGTCAAAAGAACGAAAGTATCTCGAGTACAAGGTAACATAGTTTAGGCCATTGTCAAGGCCCAAGTCTCGCAAGCAGATTTTCATATTGTTCAGATGGTCAACAAACGGTCTGGAAAAATTACATTATTGCACTAAAAGGTTCGAACACTACCGTGACTGTCTACAATAACAATAGAAACCATTGATGAACTGCGATATCTATTTCCATCATCCGGCCTCAAGGAAACAAGTGTGTTCAAAACCAGTAGACACTACCAGTTTATTGATTTCATCCGAAGGTTTGGCATCACGGATAACATTTCCCCTTCACTCCATCCGCAGTCAGATGGTCAGGCTGGGGGCATTGTAGATACTTTCAATTGGGGCGAGATGGCCCAAGTGGTTAGAGCGCGAATTTACTGACCGGAAGGTCCGTGGTTCGAATCCGACCTCCGCCACTCGACTTCCCCTGTCTTGGCTTGGGCAACCTGACAGTATCCCAGCCCTCGTGCTTCCTTCGGGTGGCATGGCAGCAAGGCACCAAAAGGGTGCTACAGCTGAACGCGCCACAACATAAGGGAAAGTAGGAAGGGACCACGGCAGAAATTTCGAACATTTTTCTGTTGAACTACAGAACAACTCCAAACCTACGCTTTCCTGGTAGTTGTTCATCATCAGGAGGTACAATAAACAGATGACCGCTACTTCTGTACAGTTCTATTCTGCCCATATTCACGCATCCTCAATCAGCCACGGGATGTCGACTTTGCGAACTGAAAGCCGTGTACCAGTGATAGACTATCGTTGTGATCGCGGAAGTTTGAGTGTCGGAACGGTCCTTAAAGGAATCGGATGGGTGTACATATCTTCCGGCCAAGGCCATTGCTACCTCAACCTTTTGCTTGAAATCTTCGCTCTGCAAAAACCAGCCGCAAAGCCACTTGAGACAAGCCACTGCCGAAGCAGAGATTCTGGACCGAGCGAGTCATAAAAGAGGCGGAGCCCCTCCATCCTGACCCATGGATCAAGCCATATGTTCGAGGATTTTTGTTGAAAGAAGCCACCAATTTCGCCAAGATTGCTTGATGAAGGCCACCGCGTTTACGGGCCAGAAGATCGTTCAAGCATCCACTCAGCAAGGACTGGTAATGCTTGTGTGCTCAGACATGATTCAGGAGAGGGGCCAATTAACCACTAGAAATTGACCGGAAAGCCTTGACTCTAAGTTAAATGTTTGTCCTAAATACCGTAACGGTGCCTTACATTCGCACTGGTTTTGGGCGATAAAGCTGTTGCATTCTTGTTGGTGGGTCCCACCCATCACTAACATTATGGAAGGTTCGCAGTCGACTACAACAGTTGTCTACATCTCGCTCACGGTATTTGTTGCGGACCTTTGGTATGCATACTCTGAAATGCAGTTGATGCTTTTTGTCGAATAGGCGTCGAAAAAAGTTGTCCACTGCGTGTGTACTAACAGTATCTCCATGACTCAAAAAATTTTCACCTTCCATGCGCTTTTCCGCAAAGGATCTCCGTATGCGAATGTGAAATGAAAGACACGGAGTCCCTCTATGTAAAAATCAGACTGAGTGTAGCCCTCAGCATCCCGCCGGTAAAAATTCAGCTGCTTTAAGGACCTAGAAACCTCGTGCCGGTTGTCCTTTTTACAATTGGTAATTCCGTAGCGACAAAATTTTCTTGTGCCCCAGACGTCAAGTTATACACCTTTCCCTAATTCGATCCATTTACGTCAGATAAACCGCACCTAAAAGTTTATTATGCTACATTCTACAAAGATCACACCTTGTCACACCTCTTTGCAATTTGAATGGGGACCACTGCGCCTGTCGTCCAATCACCGAAAAGCAAAACCTTACACGAAGGCACACCACTGTAGAGAGTGGCACGTCTCGGAACAACAAGCGGTCATCGTCCTTATCAGCAACCCTAGATGTGAGCACCAATGATTCACTGCTGTACAGCCATGTTAATTCATTTTGATAAGGCCTTATATTGGAAATAAGAAAGACATAACCGAGGCGACTAAGGACTGGTTTACAACAAACATCCGAGATGCCGAAACCGACATTCATTCGGGTAATCTGGATAAAAATCTGACTGCATGGAAGCCCCGGACATAGGTTAGTCACCACATCACTCAGTGTCTCCATCCAAGCACTGAGAGGGTTGTGTGAACCTCATCCTGGAAGAAGGGTCCAAACTTTTCGTAACATCCCACATTCCGTTCTATCATTTCAAATTCTGTGCCTCCCTTAGTTTCTGCCACTCCGAATAAGTCACAGAAAGCCGCACTTTTCTCAACAAGCGGTAACTTGGCACGCGCAATACACTGTCCAACTATCGTAGCTTGAAGTGCTGAATGCATTTTTTTGGTAAAGTATCACAGTAAACAGTGAGGCCAACATTTTTGAAAATGAAAACCATCACTGATGATAATTTCTGCCAATATTATTAGTGCATTTACTGTAAGCAGTGGGCTGCAGCACTACCATGGGAAACTTTTCTCTACCGCCCAAGCAAAAACCGATGTCGGATGGTCTGGATGCAGGTTATGAATTTTTTAAATAAAACTATCGTTCAGTAATTAACTGATATTTGCTTTGAGGTTGCACAATCTACCTAACGGTGGATTTTGACTTCCGAATTTTGCAGTAAAATTCTTAGCATCGTGACGTTATTTTTAATAAGAAAAAGTAAGAGTTTATCACGTTTTTCACGTTCAACTGTTTCATTTTCCGAGTTTTTGGGTTCAGCTTTCATAAAAAAGCAGGCATGTGAAAACTATATTTCGTATCGGTACATAGCAAAACGTGCGATATCACAGTATAACCGACACAGATGGAAGATTTCCTCCACATCACCACCTCGACGACTAGTAATTCTTCTATTCAAGTTTGGTCATCTTCTTCATCGGGGGGTTCAAAAGGCATTTCCGTGGGATCTCTGTCCTCATCAGCCTCATGTGCGTCATCTTTATTTGGTTTACCTTCTAATCGCTCGGTTGACTCTACGTCCTCGTCTTCGCGGACTGAATAGGAAGCATTATCTGACTCGTCCTCTCCGTCCCTTTGGTCCTCACTGATCAGAGGTTGCTGCTGTGGTGCGGATTCGGCGTCTACAACCATACGAATACCTTATATATACATACTGTTGGATTGCTCAGCGACAGGTTCAGAAGCACTACTGGGAATCTGAAGATTAGTTATTGCTTGAACTGCTTCTCTCTCGTGAATGCACATCGATGCCATCGGATTAAACACGGCTGTAGAAATTCAAGGCCGTCACACCTTAGTATTCTGAAGCCAGTCAGCACATTCTGGTAGGGATTTTCGTCTGACAGCTCTTGCACCACAGCTATCACCTTCAAGGCGTAACTGTTACTTCTTGCGACATCGAATAAAGAGAACCACTTTATGCCAGAGGTGCAAATCTGGCCATCACCTCCAACGTGTAGTTGGCATCCACTTATTCCTCCTTTCATCGGTGAACAAAGATGTAGTAGATGGAGCTATTCAAATCAGCGCACGTTTAGTGTAATTAAACACTGAACTAAACGGACTGATAACTGATTATCCCGGAGAAATGCAAAACTTGTGTTGAAAAATGCGTTTCAAAACGATCAATAACCGCTCCAAACGGCAACCAAATAAACGGAAAGAAGCAGAAAAGCATTCAATTGGGATAACTCATTTTTAGGACACAAATGCATTGATAAACTGGTACATCTGAGGGAGTAACGTCTTTTTTCAACCAGTGACACTTGTGCTTACGGAACGATTTTGGTGTCAGGAGCTAAAGTAAAAAGGGATATTTGGAAGTTCGGAAGGTTAGGAACATCTGTCTCAGCTCAGCCTCAAACAATGGCATGTGAAAACCATCTTCATCAGTTCTCTAATTCTCAGTCACCCGGAGCATTGACCACTATTTTGAGTGAAAAATGACTGTTATTGTCTTTTTAGAAAACGAGTGAGGCTTCATTATAAGTCTTTATGTCTATCAAATCCGGGTTTGACAGCTAGGTATAAATGTCTAAAAATATGAAAAGGTCTATGACATACGTCGTCCTGTAGAAGTATTCCGATTCAAATGCACAAAATAAATCAAATCAGTTACAGTCTTATAGCTGCTCAGTGGAGCTGTAAATCGAATGGACTTCCTATCCAAATTCGGTTATTCTCTGTATTGATAACGTCAAGTCAGTTATTTCTTTCTCACTACCTGAAGTATGGAGTCACAAAAATGGAGTCATTTTTTGGAAATCATTTTGACGAGTTACATACTCTGATATTTCAGCCTTAATATTGAACTGAAAAGTTTGATTAGTGCATAGTTACTTGCCTGCTTCTTCTAATTTCACACCTGCTTCTGGCTCTGCCTCCGTCTGTGGCCCCGGTTGAGCCTCTGGCTTTGGGACCTTGACCTCCTCAACCAGACGCTCGAGCTTTTGGGCCTTCCATCGTGGGATCAGTTTATCTGCGTCATCCTCTGGCAGTCTCTCTTCGTCTTTCTACGAGAAATAGTGGTATCAAGATGTACCATACTAACTGTGTTTTTGTATTAGTTAAAATAAAGTAAGTACAGTGTAACCTTAAATCATAACATCTCTATAAGATACTGAGAATCAGTTGAGATTCATTGCGTTGGTGCTACCGTATAAGTTCGATAATCAGACACTGTCTCACTTCCAGTATCTCTAAATTTTAACTGCATGAACTTCATTAAATGCGTATTTAAGGCTGGTGTGTTGCACTTCAGAGGGAAGAAATTCTTAGCCATAAATCCCCGAAATCAAAGTAGACACCGACCAAAGGCACTCTTGAATTTTACGATCATATTTTAATCAGAAATACCACTTTAATTGAACACCAACTGTGGTAACGGAAATTGTTGTGTTTTCAGACGTGGCATATCTGCTCTTTGTTGAAGATACCTACACGTTAAAAGTCACAGTGTGTGGTATAAGTTAGACACGAATATGTAAAAGTAAAGCAACGCAATCTTTGAACCGATGCGTATACAAAAATAGTTCTGCCTTGGTAGCCCCCTGACCGTAGTTTCAGAAGATTTTTTGTTTTTAGTGGATCTCTTAAGTAGATGTCTCTAAGCTTGGTAGCCTGATGAAAATGTCATTTAGGACATATGTAGTTTAAAATTTTTCAGTAGTATCGTCTTAGCCGGCATTCTTCAAAATCATGTAAATTCTCGCTGTTTCTAGATGGTAACTTCTGACGAAAATCTACGCAAGAGATAATGGTGTATAGTCATTCAGCGGACATCCCAAAAGAGCAGATCTGACGATAAGTGGGTAATCTTTAATAGCTGCACACCAAAATTCGATCCACCCAAGGTCTAAGAAAGCAAAATGATCGTTGTAACACCCTTTTGGTGTTTAGCTGTCATGCATCTACAGAAAGCAACTAAAAAGCTTTAATTCACAACGTAGATCCTCAGATTTTCATGTACTGCCTGATGTTTCTGTATGGTAATGTGGACTTGTATGGTGTACACTAACTGACTTAGGCTTCACCATGTTAGTAAAAACGCCGAAGGACTCAACAGAAAACAATAAAACCAAATGCCTGTTCAATCTCAGGTTTATCATCGCTATTGTGTGTAGGCCTTGAGAAGTTTTATTTCTGGGATTCTGTATGTTGGGAATAAACTTATCAAATAACAATTTAATCATGAAAAGCGGGTACGGTTTAAAGTAGGTGGAGTGATATCTCTCCAAAAGAACGTTTGTTAAAAGAAAATTTTGGAACAATTTCATTCGGTTTCAGTTTCTTGAACAATGATTACTCTTTAGACCCAACATTCTGTGCAAGGGAACAGCTGACAAGAAGCAAATTTAGTATCGATTTTTCCAACTGCCTGGATAGCGCGTGCGTTGCCCGTCGTTTGCATAAACCAGAACAACCATGATTACGACGATACCCAAGTTAATGGCGGATGTCATTGTATTGAGAACTCGGCAAAGTCAATCCAACTTTACCGTGCCACACTTTCCTGGCTAATGTCAGCAGTTCGTCTCACTCATCAATTAATGGTAAGGACAGCTTGGGTCTTTCTGAACGAAAACCTTATGGCTTCAGTACCAACCAGTGTAAGGAGGAAAGCCCTTCGACGCGAAGTTGTTTATTAACAAACACCAACCAAACAGTTACAAACTTTCGAACAGGGCTGTAAAAGTACACCATTTTTAAAGACTGAACACTCATGCGTCTTCTCTAACTTTCGCGAATGCTCATTGACTATCATACAATTATAAGCGAACGCTGCAAAGCACTTCCGCAAGCTCCGCAATAAGGCTCATCTTCCATTAGATTTGAGGCGGAGCTTCGAGGAAACCACGTACTACTCGCAGGCCTCAGCAGTGGAATCCGCTAATACACCTGCGTCCTTTAACACCAGAAAAACTGAAAAGCGACCTCCACCCTGTGCATTTCCTACACGAGAGAAAGATGTTCGTCAGACAAATAGTCGTTATGCTTTTCCCTAATTATTGTCTAATTAGTCGAGTTTGACAACTCACAGACTGAATGCCCATGAAAGTGATGTAGATTAATGGTTACCACATTCATGCAGTTTTGCGATTCCCAATCATTATCTGGTGTCTCAGTGATAGAAATTTTTCCATGAAGGTCATCATCGTGTCAAGAAAAAAATGACACAAAACAAGTAGGTATGTGATTCCCTAACTAGAAACAACAAGGATCAAAATTACATATCCCCCAAGACGCATTTTTGTCGTCCGATGAATCTCAGCGGGATCACTTTATAATCAGTTGAATTTCTGACTGTTTTACGCCAGTAAATTATAAATAAATACTTACAGCTGGTGTCGCTAAATATTCTCCAGTTTGCTGACATTCCAGTTTAGGAAATACATATCGTCCTCTCCCCATTACCTGGAAAAAAGCAGATAAATAAAAATCTAGACATTGAAGATTTTCTCTCTTTGTGTGCCTTTACGAAAGAATACAGCCTTGTAGTTGTTAACCTAATATTAACAGATACGACTTTTACTAAGCAGTACAAGTTTCTATATGGAGCTTGACTACTTGGTGGGATTCAGGATCTTTGCCTCAATTAGCGATCACTGCGCCTACGGATGCAAACAACCATAATAAAGTAATTTAGAGATTCTAGATAATAATTCTAGATAAAGCATCCATTAGGCCCACCCAAACCGGGCTTGGAAAGCTTGCATTGATAGAGCCATGACCAGGTTATTGCGAGGTACCTTTGTATTCGCACCACTGTCATTTGAACAGCCGCACTTCTGTCAAGACACAGTACTTCCACTTAATTCACAACAAAGCAGATGAGAAGTAGATTTAGATTTCACTTTTATTCGGCTTCATCAATCGTGCACATTATTTCTCATGCTACGTTTAGAGCCTTTGATCTTCCACCAATTTTGTGCAAACCTACGCAGACTTAATGGGCGGTCCTCTCCTCTCATTGCGCCCAACTCCAAGGGAAAAATGTGTAATAGTTGGAGCCACTGCAGTTTGCCACGTGGCTCTAAATAAGTGAATGAAAGGTTGACTCAATAAATTTAATTTAATTTAATTTCGTTCTTAAATGAGCAATAAGTTTTACGTGAAGACTACCTGACTTATTTTTCCACTTTGATGCGGAAATTTATCTCTTTGTGAACTTAAAATTGCAGCTTTTTTAGCAAATAGTGGAGAAATTACTGCTAATTTTAATGACGCTTCATAACCGATGGTTTATTAGATGTATGTCGTCAGATCAGTTTTCAGAGAGTTTTGAAACACACCCAAGGAGATTGCGCTTTGTGTTCTTTGTGGACAATCCAACTTGCACAATCCAATATCAAACGTTTAAATGCTTTAGTTTTCTTGGAGGAATGGGCAATATACTTTAGACAGGTAAAATAGCAAAGAAGACAAATGATAAAGATATGAATTTCGAAAAGCTGTGGTTGGATCAGCTTGCGGTTAGCAGTTTGCCGTTTTCTATATTGAAAACAAGAATCAAAGTAAAACTAAGAGTTTCTTGGTCATACATTACCCGGGATCAAGACAAATCAACGCCAAATTTTGTGCGCGGACAGAAGTAGAGAAAGTTAACTACACTTCAGACGACACGCTATGTCAAAATTCAAAAGCACAATCGCAAGATTATGAATCATCTGTCAATGTTTTGGTAATAACTTTACTCATAGTAAGTAGTTTATTTATTTATGGGTAAGCGTCTCCAAAATTCACTTAATTGAATTAAGCATGTAAGTTCATGGAATATAACTAGATTGACTAGATGTCACATTCATCAGAAACCAAGAGGGCTTCCAGAGGACCATAACTGCGTGCGTGCGTTAACAGCATGCATTACCCACAAGCGCCACGTTTCCTCCGCGAAACGAATCCCCAAGGAGATAAAGCTAGTAAACTGCATAAAACGATCAATCAGAATTAGTTTTTAGTTTCTCTTCTTTCGTAAGTTAGCGTTTTTGTTGGCGCCTTGTGGATCGTTACTGAGTATAATATCCATTCTCTTGCTGATTAGCAAACACCTGATTATTTTTCTTCGGTGTGCATGATCCCTTCATATCCAAATTGCACGACTAATTTTGGGCTCGACTTATATACACGTACTTCCTATTAGAGGTTATCATATATTCAGGCACATTATCTTCACCATCATCATCACCATCTTCATCACAATCATCACCATCATAATCATCATCATCATTGTCAGCTGTAATAACCGCGTACTCGTCGTACAGTGGTTGGAGCTGCCGCAGTTACGTTCACTGATGATTTGGGGGGAAGGTAGCTGCGCATTGCGGGTGAGAGACGATAAACTGATGCATAAATCCAGCATTGTCACTGAGCTGTCAAGTGGGTGATTGGCACGCCAAAATAGGTACACTGCTCTGCAGTACTCATAAAACTTTGATTACATCACCAAAATAACCTAGTTAAAGCAAATTAAGTATTTACACTCACTTGGTTATCCAAGACTTATGGAATCAAAGCCTGATATTCACATAAACAGGAACCTACCTGGAGTGCAAACTAAACATTAGAGCATCTCTTTTTTTACAAGCGTGAACGGACATATCATGGTCTAGACGAAAAACATATATTAGTCAAGCGAGATAGGGCGAAATTCATTTCTAAGTATGTCTGATTCAAAAAAGGAGAAAACGTCCGAAAGTGACCCACCGATTTCCTATAGGGTCTTCCGAGAGAGATCCAAAATGATCCCAGACTACATTTTTCTCCATTATCTTTCATTACAATTCACTCAACAATGAAGAAGACAGAAAAACTTATGACTGGAGAGATACGCCTGCATGGCTAGCTACCACGGCGAATGTGTGCAGCATGTTGATTTCCCAATGCTTCTTCTTCTAGACCCTAGGCTGCTAAATGTCGCAAGCTTAAAAGAGATTGAATTTTGACCTCGAAAACCTGAGAGAATACCGGTCATTGTGATTCCTTCAGGTATGTAATGTCTGTAATCCGTTGTCACATTTACCATTCTTCCTGAACTTAAACCATACTTTGTAACTTTCGTTCACATTGCATCATGACGTTTGTCTTAATGTTACAAATACACAATTTTCCGGCGCGACCTGCTGACTTCTTGCTGAACAAGCGTATTTACGCTCCGTTGAACTGCTTGTTGACTGCTGAACCAGTAGGACTAAATCTCTGTGTTTGTGTCAGCTGTTGAACGTCATGATAAATCCCTGCGATATTTTTTAGCCGTGAATAATCTTCCTACCGTGGAATATATCACGCACGCGGAACCATCTGTGGGAAATTCCGACAAGGGAATATTTCCTCTCACAGCCAGTTACTGCATTTGGATCGGTGTAGTGGACTATTGGATCTACACATTCGTGAGACCCCATTTGGCTATTGATTCTTTTCCTATTGTGATTTTGTGACTTTGTATTGGTTACTTTTGCTTGTTAATTTATCCGAACACGCTGTGGTATAAACTTGGGAATACAAATCACATGACAGTGAATCTACGAGTTATTGAGAATGGCCGGTTTGCAGAAAATAATGCGGTCACTCCCACCTGGGAGGAGAGTCTTTCTGTTATGGAAGATATCATGAGAAATTTATTGAAACATAGAAAAAAGAACAATAGTTTAGACTTAAACCTACCATTCCATCTTTCCAGAATCCAATATATTTATGACTCTCATGAATCAATTCTCCAAAACCATCTATTTTACCCTCTTTCCATGTTCCCTCGTAGCGCAATTTACTGGCGGCGAATGTATAGCTTCCTTGACCATGTCTCAAGTGGTCCCTCCACTCGCCTTCATAAACATCTCCGTTCACGTAGGTGTACTTCCCAACTCCGTTCCTCTGGTTTTCTACCCATAAGCCTAACGTACATTTCGGAGGCTTATTAACAGTAGCTATGACTAACCTTCATAAACAGACCCATCTGGGTAATAAAACGTTCCCTGCCCATGTTTCTTACCATCATAATAAGCACCATCGTACCTTGCCCCGTTTTTGAAACTATAAAATATATAAAAAAATTTATTTCTACCGGTAGATCCCAGGACCATGTCGTTTTCCGTTTTCATACATTCCATCGTACGCGTCCCCATTTGGCAATATAGCTTTTCCATAGCCGTGACGCTCATCACGTTCGTTTCGACCGCCGTCATATTCCTAGTGACCATCCACCTCAGGCTAGTGATAAACTCACTCCCAAATAGACCCCCTCTTCCTCCTCGATATCTTCAGCTTCGTCGTCAGACATTTTACTATTTTCAACTCGTTACAAAAATTACCATGACGACCGTTCGTGTCCAGAAATAATTCAATGTAGATTAACAAATTTGAAGGCCGCAAAGTCAATTTCCGCTGATACATTGGAATCAGTTTGAATTGAATACAGTTTCAGTATTGTCCATTCACATGGATTTTCAAGAATTTTGATGTTCGGGTAAAGCTGTTTTTCGGATTATCGTGCCTAGGGATGCCAGCGTATGCTTTTGGGGTGTCGAGAGCCACCAGGACTGAATCGCTGGAATCCCCCATTCCTGCAATTATGACGCTGCTTCTCGGAAGCAGAGGAAGACTCTCCGACCCCGTATTTTCCCGGAACCGTTTTGGCGTTTATTGATATGTATTTGGTCTCATAAAATTTCCATTTGATGTCTCAATACTGTTGCAAGTATTTTAAGTGGACTTGAGGTCCGGTGTGGGCTTGGAATCCGCATTTTAATCGCTGATACTGGCTTCACCTATTGGGTCCGTGAAGGCTGGGAAATTATGTGGAAAAACTGGTTTCTTCATTTATTTTCTTCTATGTTGGATTTGGAAATAATCTCGAGCTTGCAGGCAGTATAAATGCGCCATCTGTGTCCGCCCAAACTCAAAATGGGACCCTTTCGTGACCTATATAAGATTGAACAGACAAAGCAAAGGGCTTCGTCACAGAAAGTAAGATTTCGTGTTTACGATGGTCAACACATGCTATATCATCGCACGACAAGGTTTAAACAGCAGGGTGTACCTGAATCCTGATAGTGCCGTTGGGTGAATTAGGAGGCTTTTGGACAGAACAACAAAGTTGCCTGTACTTTCAAGTCCTAACATAAGTTAAACGATACAATGCGGTCTTTTGGACGTGCGTAACTCGCACACTCGGGAAAATTAGGGATATTTTGAACTGGTGATACGCCATCAAACTGGATATGGCAATCGCTGTACCATCAGCGTGGGTACCCTCATACATGAACATCTTGGTTCAGTCGTTTGGGGTTGTCATTGTTGTTGTCGCTTGCCAAGGATTCATGAAGGATTCATGTTTAATTGCTGATATTCAAACGAGGTATTAAGACAACCATATCTACGTTGGGGACTCAAAACAGGAAGATATCCCAAAAGGTTTTCTAGAAAGCAATATGATGTGAGTTTGATCGTAGACAAGGTAGACAAAATGGTAGTTGGCATTCAGGTGCAAACAGCAGGTATGTCGTTGATGCGAATGAGTGTAAGCAAATGCGCTAATTTCCGCCTAGCATTGGCTGAATTGTGCGCAACAAAGGTAGCCCAGAGCCTTCAGGGAAAGTAGATCACAGAAAAACGGGAGTGTCTGGTGGTAGTAAGTTTTTGTACGGCAAGACGACCCCAGAAACCCGCACTTACAGCTAAAAAAAATTGGGTTGCTTTGCAAAACGAGTTGCCTCTGACACGTCATACAGGATGTATTCAGTCAGCCTCTATTGGCATTTTTGCTCCACTACCAATCGGTTTTTCCATCAGAAGGAGGACTTCCTGCATATAAGCTACAACCAGGGCAAGCTCAGGTTGGCAAACAGATGTCCGACGAAGGCTGCTTCTATTTTGGTTTCCTTTCCATACATTGCATAAGCAGTTTTCAACTATCTGAAAGCCTTGTCGATCCGAAATTTGCAGACGTCTTCCTCGTTTTCGAAGAGGAGAAAAAGGAGCGCGTGTTTTGTATGAACTGACCAAGGTCATCCCGTCCTTTGCTGTGCACCCAAAATGTGTGAGGTTATAATAAAGTTTATTGCCAGCTGGTAAGTGGCATGGTGTCAGGTATGAATATACCATGAATATAGTATGAGTTTTTTCCTGGTTGCAGGTTATGGAACGAGTGGGCGATAGGGTACAGTCTGAAGCAGGAAGGTAATATTTGCGGGCGTTCCATCGAATAGGGTATGACAGCGCCGAGGTATTATTGCACTGGTACTTCGGTTTCCGGGCAGCCACGTAACGGACGTCATGTATGGGGTGATTGGGATGAGCCATACAATTCTGTGAGCAGCGATGCTTTTGAGCTGGTCAACGGAAACCACAGCGATGGAACGGGGGTGACGTGAGATCGCTGGTTTTTATAGCCTGATTGGGGATTGCCGTGGATGTAGACCACAAACCAGGTGGAGTGGATAACAGCCAAACAGAGCGTTCGAATGTAAAACCGAGGGTGGAAGTTTGGGAAGACGGGAAAATGGGCTGAGATCAATAATGCCCAGTGATCGAAGGGACATCCGATAGGATAGAGTGCAGTACGGGAGAAAAAGCTTAGCGATTACTACAATGAGACTAGTGACAACAGTGATTAAATACGACAGGATGGATGTAGATTCGGTCCTAGTAGACTAACGATCGGGCTTGGTTTGAGTTTGTTAATAGACAATAGAATATTACAAAAGCTCTACAGCGAACCGGCATCCTGATGGAGTATTTCACCTGGAAATGGGTCGGAGGGTATGTGTTCTTGGGCAATGACTTCATAGTCATCACTGTCTGATATATTTGGGTCGCATCATGTGCGGCCGTCTCAGTAACTCAACTATTTGTATACCGTAGACATGGTACTAGAAGTGAGGATGGGTGTTGAATCCCCCTGTGAATCAACGGTGAACAAGGAAAACTTTTCTTGTTTTCTGACTACTCACGAGTAAATGATTTACACCTGTTTATTTTGACACCGTTTCGTTTTCTTGCTGCTCGTTTTCCCCCGGCTTTGTTCTTACTTAAGGTCTGCTTATCCCTCAGTAAGTGATGTCAATGTTTGTTGCCCGTCTGTCATTGCCTGCGAGTTCGCCTCGATTGCACCTATTTTTTGAGCGCCCACTCCGACGGAAAAGCGAGCTGACCGGGTATCGAAACCGGACCCTCCGGACGGCAAGCAAACGCGCTACCAACTTTACCGACCTGACGTCCAGGACAGCTGGTTATTTTGCATTACACATGTATCACGCCTGCCAGATAGCCCCTGTTGAGCTTTGTTTTAAACGGACGAAGCCGCGTAATCTGACCTGTCGCGCGACACGAGCGGCTGCGTCGACGCCGACTGAAAGACAGTCCCTCACATCCCGAACGTACTGACTCCTGCGCCGTTACGGTCAACTCCCACTGTCAGACTGCCCCGATATGTATGTTTGTACATCGTTTGGTACTTACTTCTTGTTGCCCCTATAGAAATCCGTGCTGTGACAGTGACTACTTCCCGCTCCTGAAGATTGCGTCATTGTTTATTGTACGTTTTCTTAATTCATGATGCTTACCAATCCGTTTTTCCGTAGAACCAGTTACTGTCAGTCTTCAATATATCATCTGCTGCCCCACGTCTGTCTGCTCCTATTGACTACTAGCTACGAACTGCGTATAATCTAATAGTCGCAATCGTCCTGTGAGATCCTTAGCCGCCCGGATCTTACAATGGGTCGCGATAATTCATCTTGAACGATGAGCTGGGTGGGCCCCAAACACATGACATATGGACTGTAGCCAAATTAGGCTACATCGATTACACGTATGGGTAACACCGCTCGTCGCTGGTCATCGGATTAAGTTGCCACGCCTGGCTGAGTCTTTGTGATCAACACCGAACTTGGACACGGGCCGAGCAGTTATGGTAAGCTTCCAAGTTATGCGACAGCGCGCGCTGCTATCAAGATGACTGCCAATGGTTGACCTCATTTTCCGCCCATGCAGTAGGACTTGATGACGTATTCTAACTGGAGAGCGCGACTATTTTTAATGGGAAAAATCGCTGTGTTGCTATTTAACGTGCAGTTATTTCGTAACGCTGCACTATCTGCTGACTAGTTATTCATATTAGAGTATCGAGATCATCCACATAGGTGTGCGTTATCCTAAAATCTGCATGGTGTGTCCTTCAACGGCATATCCAACGTGAGGTGAGCTTCCGAAAAACGGCCTTGTGCCGAGGTTCAATAAACAAATTCACCTAATTTATAACTTTTGGGGGAATGTATGTTAAAATTATTCTACTATTTTTCTGTGTGGAATTTGCAATGGGAATTCCGCAGTGCGATTGCGAGAGACCCCGTAACCTGGTAGCAGAAGGTGAATTGGTGATGGTTCGCGACCTTGAAAGTTTGCTCACTTAAACAATATTCTACGGGCAAGGAATCACCGAAAGGTGCAAAGTGATTAAACTCACTTCCCGTAAATGTCGCAACTTCGAAAACCTCACAGTTTTAGTGAAAATAATTTGGAAGTTCTTCTAGGAGTTGTTCTAAGAGTCTACAGGCCTCGGTCGAAGTTTAATCAGGCACTATACAGTTCACTCCCGTAGTGCTCAGTATTTGCACAATTTTCGAAAGCAACGACGTCCCTGCTGACCAAAACAGAAGCTAAATTGAGTTCAGAGTACCAGTGCAAAATTTTGGGTTCTATCTAGGCATCCTGTGGCCCCAGAGATGCCGGGAAATTATTACAACAGATTTTTTCGCCAGAAATATGGTTGCTTCAGCGGACAATTGGATTTGGTGGGCTACAAAAATATGAACATAGATAAAAATGGTTTTCGGTTCGAGCATAAATGTAACAGAATTAAACGCTTTGGCGTAAAAATTTTTGTTCCACTCGGAAAGGTTTTGCAGCTAAAAGCAATGTGTAGCCAACGCGTCCCTACGTAAGCAGCCTGTTGTGTGGCCTGTTCATATGTCAAGCAAAATACGTCAAGGCGTGAGGACCTCCCACCGACTAGCTGTTGGGATGAATTAGTATACTTGAGGTTTACATACACCAGGACTAGGGAACGAAAGTTGTTCATGGAGATCCGCCAAGATATTGCTGCTTGGATGAATCTGCTTTTGGAGCGGGGGTAAAGCGGCCGTTGATCCAGCACTGTGTGCATGATTTTGAGCCAATGCATCGTGGAACTGAGCAAGGCTAAATCTGGCTGTAGAGCTTTGACACTTCTTTTTGTTGTGTTGTACCACGAAAATGGGTCTTATCACATTTAGAGAGAATAAAGCTTCAGCTGTATCCTGGGTTGCTGCTTGTTATACTGTACACCTGGCTCCTTTCAGACTCATCGCTGTTGGCAGTAGCACATGATTTATGATTGGGAGCAATGGTAGGAAGACAAGCTTGTTTGATGAAAAGCTTACGTCGCTCATACCTCATGCCGGTGTAGGGGTTGCAGTCGGCAGGGAGTATAAGTGCGCAGATTTTTGGCAGTTCAAGTTATGTGACACATGCCTGTTTCGAAGAGCGGCGTCTATTCGTACTGTAACAAACATCAAGTGCGTAGGAAGCGGCCTGCCCTCCCAGACTGAGAATGGTCTGGTAATAACGCCGCATATCAAATATTTTTTCTTCTCTCTATTTAGGGGCCTATTATAAAAGATAGTGTTATCAAAGTTACATCTAACAGGCCCCACGCGCTTCAAACCCAGTGCTGATTGTAGGCAAACTTGTATAAAAATGCTGCTTGACAGCCCATGTTTATCTGCATCGTGAAGCTGAAGTTAGACCCAATAAATACCTCTCTTTGTTGTGGCGGTTGGTGCAGTGAGCATCAAGAAGGCAATGGCTTCAGTAACTGCACCATTGCCACCCTGTAGTGCGTTCTAAGATCAACTGTATTTCCGAATCTAGGAGCATCAGCGACCGCGCGTAGGACTGCACTTCGCTGCGCTTTGCTGCGCCTAAATTAAATGGTTGGTATGTGTTGAAAGCATAGAAACGCATCCATAGTTAAATAACGGCCCAGTTCCACCAATAATTTCGCCCGGGTGTTGCCCGCTGTATGGGTAAAGAGCTCCCGGGAACACGCGAGTCTGTACATACGTGGCGCAAGTTTCATGCCCGACGCAGTTCCATTTGGTGACTTGAAGAGCTTCACGGCCCATGTCTCGAAGATAGACAGACGTTGTTAGTACCAAAAAGAGTTGAGCGAATGAAACTTTGGCTCAAATGTAAACAAATGAGCATGTTAAGAAAAACGGAGAGCAATAAATAAGTACATCAGTTCGGGATATCAGAAAAGGACTAGAGACGAACATTCCAGAAAGCAAAGGCTCTCCTGTAAACCGAAACTGCCGTGAAAACATGAGTCGGAGTCTTACGCAGAGCTGAGAGCTGGAAAACAATGTGGCCGCGTATGCTTGCTAAGAGCCCGACGGGACTGCTGTTCCCTTGCACAGGTTTGTCTATAAATAGCCAACAAGTCTTCTGTCTTACATGTCTTTCCCGTGTCGAAATCAACCGTGATGAGTCAACAGTGTCAACCATGCCTTTAACAATTTGAATCGCCAGGAATTCCTTGTCTGAGTCAAGTAACTTTGGAAAACAATTTTTTCTTTTCACTTGTCTTTGTAATTGAATTTTTCGGTCTCCTGAAACAAGTTTTTACAAGCTGATCCATAGAGGCACACCACAGGTTACTCTGAAACCGTAGTTTAAACATGGAAACCTTTATCACGAAAGTTACAGCATCTGATGGTAATTAGTTGAACCATAAAAATTTCCCTATGTGGTCGCAGTTTTGCTGGAATTTCTTTCAACGTATTCTAGGTCCACTATGGGCGCGTATTTCATAGTTTAATAGCTGTCATTGGCATCGCGTCATGTCTCCATGAAGACGGCGTGAAGTTTCATGAGAAACGCTGTTTTTCAGGTATCTTCTCATTTATTGAATTTTGAAATAATCCCAAAAGTATATTAACAATGATACCGTCATTTATGT